CAAGCATGCTGATCCACACAGCTATGCACACAGGTGTACACACCGGTGTTCACAGACGCGGACTACACCTTTCTTTCCTGCTGTCTCAAAGCACATTGTGCGCTGTCTATCTTGCATGCTGCACAATTTTTTTTTCTCCATACAGGTGATCCAGGTGTTTTGTTTGTTTTTCTTTTCTTTTTCTTTCTTTTCTTTCTGAGCAACACCCAGGAGGAAACACAGAAAGCGGTGTGATAGGATGCAGAAGCAGGGTAAGCATAGAGGAGCTAATGCAAGGCTAGCTGCTAACCAATACAAGCCAGACGTACGGACACAGTTGCCGGCCAATGTCTGCTCCCTTGACAACAATATCAGACTGTGGAGCGCTTCTCAACACAGTGTGAGGAACGATGCTGTGGCAGGGCTTCCAACACATTATGTACTACAAGCCCCCTCCCACAATGACAAGGGACACCAATTGTGAGTAAATGCCTCGAGCGGCTGGTCTTGAAGCACATCATGAACAGTCTCCAAATAGACCTGGATCCCCTTCAGTTTGCATACAGGACCAACCGATCTACAGAAGATGACCTCTCTCTACCACACTCCATGTTATGCTGTCACACCTGGAGAGGAATAACACCCCTCTGCCAGAGTCCTTTGCATCGACTTCAGCTCAGCTTTTAACACGATCATTCTGCAGCAGTTGGAAAAGCTGATGCTATTAGGCGTGGACCCTGCAACCTGCAAATGGGTTTTCAGCTTCTTGAAAAGCGGCAACAGACAGTCAAGGTGGGCAGCCACACATCAAAGACCATCTTGTTGAGCACAGACTTTCCTCTGGGGTGTCCTGAGCCCGTTGCTGTTCAGTCTGCTCACACATTACTGTAAGCCAGACTCAGTGCTAATCATATTGTGAAATTTGCAGACAACAACTGTGGTTGGTCTCATCACTGATAACGACCACTTATAGAATAGATGTGGAGCAGCTTGAAGTGTGGTGTAGATCCCGTAATCTTACCAACAATGTGGACAAAACAAAAGAGATGGTGATCGATTTCAGGAAGTCTGGCAGAGATCACCACACAGACTTCTCCATAGAGGGTGCTGCTGTGGAGAGGGTCAGCAGTGTTAAGTTCCTTGCTGATGACCCGTCCTTCTTCATTAATACAACAGCAGTTATCAAAAAAAGCACAAAAGCGTCTGCACTCCCTCGGGAGACTCAGAAGAGCAGGACTGCACCCAATAACCATCCATTCAGCTATTAGCACAGCTATACTCTGATGCCTCCTATCCACACACACGCACAGCATACAATATACTCCCCAGATACACACACTACTTAATTTAATTATCCCCTTCTGTGAAAGGGCTGATGCTACCTGTATGAGTGTGAGTATTTGGACTGGAGTTTGTTTATGAATTAAGATTTTGTGTTATTTACCCCTTTTTATTGTTGTGATTTATTACTGCCTTTTTACTGTTTGTTAAACCATTTTTCTTTTTAGTTGTATTGATTATTGCACTGTAGATGCTGGTGAGAAACACTTTCATTTCAGCCTGGGTAATACCATACGAAATGACAAACTTCTTCTTGAATCCTTTTCAATCTTGACAAACAAGCATCAGCTGATGAAGTGCACAGTTTCAATAAAAGTGATAGGTTCTTCACCTTTTGTGTTGATGACATTTTTGTCCACTGTAGCAGCTGAGCTGAGTCCGAATGGTTGAAAATGTTCGTCTGGTGCTCCGTCAGACTCTTCTCCTCCTGCTGATCGGCTGGGACACAAAACAGATCTTTGTAACATCACAGTGAAACAAGAACAGAGGAAGGAGTCTTGACTGATCAGGCCCCATCATAGCTTAAAGATCTCATAGCATCACACTATCCCATTAGAGCACTTTGCTCTCACACTGCAGGCTTACTTGCGGTTCCTACAGTATTTAGAAGCACAACAGAAAGCTGAGCCTTCAGCTTTCAGGCCCCTCTGCTGTGGAACTGGCTTCTAGTGTGGATTTGGGAGACGGACACCCTCTGAAACAATGGTACTCATAATAATAATAATGGATTGGATTTATATAGCGCTTTTCAAGGCACCCAAAGCGCTTTACAATTCCACTATTCATTCACTCTCACATTCACACACTGGTGGAGGCAGCTACGGTT